AAAAAAAAAAAAAAAATCATGGCAATCACTTTTAATTTTCTAATTTGTTTGTTTCTCTTGCAGAACATACCTCACCTCTCAGGCAGGCAGTCTAATTAAAGCTTGCACATGGATACGGACAAAAATGCACACACAAAATCTACTGCGAGCACAAAACGTAAAGGGGGAAACTCGAAGCCGCCTTTGCTAATGAGGGGTGACAAGATGTTTATGTAACCCCAAAGCCCTCCAATCCAGACAAAATTAAAGGCCCGGACAGCCTGACCCAGGCCCCTCAGTCCTAGTGCCCTGTCCCAGGGGGCCCGGGCTGCTAATAGGGAGCTGGAGTGAGTACTTTCACAGCTCCCCCTGATGGAGGTCCGGGGCTGTTAATCCAAACTGACAAGCGGAGCGGGGGTAGAACGTCCCAACAGCAGGGAGGAACTCCAGAAGGAAGAAAGCACGGGTTAGAACAGGGCAATGCCAAATGAAAACATATGGAGAACAATCTTTCTATTAAAATATATAAAAAAGCAATAGCAATTCATTACATAAAAGGTATTAAAGGAGCCATATCATGGAATATTGGATATCCCATGCTCTTTTGAAATAATAGACCTACTCTCCTTGGTTTTTATATATAATCCTGTCTGTAACTGTGATTTATGTTAACACCACAGTTTCACCCAGAGGATCAATACCTACCGATTGTATGATATACTTGCTTGCTTAGACTAGTAAAATCCACTTCTACAAAACTAAAACGTTCTTGTCAGTCCAAACAGAGCATTTACTATATTGATGACAGAGCTAAATCGCAAAACATGACCCATATTTACACATCAATGACTTAAAGGAGATCAGAAAGCTGCTCTGCCCAGAATGTAAGCACCAAAGTACACCCAGGGCTGTTACTCTTTTCACATACAAGGAGAATGTTTCTTAAAACCACAAAAAAAACAAAAAAAAAACATGTATTGCCAGAGAGAAGGAAACTGTCACTAAAAGTGAAAAAAAAAAAATTAGTGACATTATAAATTAAAATAATAATATAATAATACAAATGTATGAAAATACATCTTTTAGAAAAGAATGGGGTTGATTTAAATGAAAAATACTGAAATACAAATACTGAAATATTTAACAAAGACTTTTATTTTTATTTGCTGTCCCAGTATGCTTTTATGAGCAGCAGAAATGTAACATAAATGTACTGTTTTGGTAAAACGGCACAAATTCTAGGCGATTCTCCAAGGAGAATATGTGGACTCATAAAGCTTGGGAGGGGGCAAACGTTGGCTTTTGTTTCAAAGATGCTGTTCAGCTGACTCATATGAAGTGAATCTAACAATTCTTCTGTTTCCAGCAGATCAGTCATTTCTTGTTCAAAGAAACATTGAAAGCCTCATCATTCAGCTCCCATGGCAGTTTCACATACGTTCACAAGTCCCCTAAATGTCTCAAGTGCACTTAGTGTTCCTGTTGAGAGACTGAATGTAAAAAGTTGAAGTCTTTACAGGATCCCCCTGTCAGTTTATGAGAGCGAGTCTGAATATGCCCTTTCGCCTCCAAGACCGGCTTAACCTGCGACGTTGTATGTTTTTCAACTCGAGTTTCAGTGACAGCACTTAACGTATTGTCTCTACACTCACATGTCTGTGATAACTGGATTTCAGTAGCTGACTGCATGAATGTGAGTGAACTTAGTTAGGAGAGAGTAAATTGTTTGAAAAGGTAATGTGTGCAGTGTAAAATGGTTAAAGCTCAGCTCTGAAAAAAAATAGTCTGCAAATAGGAGTGCAAATGTAATGTAATAAGTTTCAAAACTATTTTTTCATCTGTTCACACACCAGTTTTCAGATCAGCATTTACAAGGTTTCAAAACTGGAAAACAAACTATACACCGGGAGAACGAGGACAAATTAGAAACTTTTGAAAAAAAAATTATTGAACAACGCTGTAAAAAAGAGTGTTGCACTTCTAAAGAAGGAAAACTCAAAACCAAAATTATGTGTAAATTTAATAATAATAAAAAAAAAAATTTTTTTCGATCTTGCAAAACTTTTTTTTGTAAGATTTTGAGTTTTCAAACACTTAGATTCATTGAATCATGGTAGGATATTAATCCCATAGAATAATTGACTCTGGGCCGTGGAATTATTAGAAAAATAATGAACACCCAAGGTGCATTACCACCTTGAGTGTGCATTATTTTTCTAATACTGGTAATTCAATGACTCGTCATCAATTATTCCTTAAATGTGTGATGATGAGGACACAACATACTTTATGCTGATCTACTCAATCACCTCTCTCAGCTTGTTTTGGTCTCTTCAGTTGTAACACTCCAAGGATAAAATATACATCTCTTCCAGCATGCTTTTTGCACAACAGATCATTTGAAACCTCCCTTGAATGATGCAAATATCAGAAATTGTTGAATTTTGAAGTAAGGCGATGTCACATCCAATTAAAATACAGTCAACAATAGAACAAGGAGCTTTACTAGGCTAAAGCGGGGATGGGTTTGATGAACTGTCTGTAGCCAGCAAGATGAGGAACATAAAATAATGGCTGTCTCTGTTTGAGCCTCTAAGAGCTCCAAGTACCGATCTGGCACAATCAACCGCACATTTCATACAGACACTTAAAGTAGAAATCAATGCTGCAGTCCCTCTGAAATAATTGGAACACAGCAAAATAAACCACAATGCCATCAGTGGAAAAAAGCAGACTTCTGTTTCCTTTGCAGTGGCAGCTTCTGATTGTACTATGTCTTGAAGGCATGGCTGTTGCTTCAGGAGGTGGAACAACGGTTTGTCTAATCAGCAGCAAGAAGCTGTTTTTCATTAAAAGTCATCATTGGCTGGAGAGATCCTAGGCTCCGGATAATCTGTCTCACTATGGTTTGGGTCTGATTCAACGTGGATCACGTTGAGTTTCTGGGAATTATGTCTAACCTCATGGTGACATGGTGGGATGTGAGCCAAAAAGTGTAGGCTAATTGGGATGTAATCTGGAGGTAACAAAGCGAGTTACAGAGTATTCTAAGAGCTGTTTAACTATTACACATAGTGAGTTTAGACTAGTGGGTAAATAAACAATGAAAGCATAGATGGTTGTGGTAGAGATTTCATTTTCTAAAATAACCTGTCAGTGGTTTACCTGAACAACTAATCACCTAATCTTAAATAAGCCCTTAATACTTAGGATGGTTTCAGATTCACCCTATGAACAGACATATTTCATAAGAAATGAAAAACAAAAAAACTTTTAGATAGAAACTTTAAAACTTGACAAAAGCAACTAATAATAATAGAATGCAATGCAACGTCTTAAACAACAGCTAAAATAAAATAAATAAAGATAAAAATATCAATAAAAATAAACAAATAATATAAAACAAAACAAAGCATCATGACCATTGCGATCCATTGTGTGTTCAAACGGGTTAACAAAAATGGAAAGTTGCATCAATAGTTAAAGGAGTATGAGCATCCAACATGGCAACCTCCTAGTGTTCATTTTGTCCGCTATTTTTACGTCTTAGTCATGTCTCAAATTAACTTTTTATCATATTTAATCAAACTTGTCCAGTTTTCATTCAGTCAAGCCTGGGCATTTTAGTCTAGTTTCAGTAATAAAAAAAGTCATATTTTCATCATGCTACAGTACATAATGGTTAAATTAATAATAGGCTAACAATTATTTAGATTAAATAATAATCACAGCAATTGTTGTCATTTGAGAAATTTATATTTGCATTTCATCACAATTATTGCAGAGAATGCGTCATATAGTCTCATAATGTCTCATCAAACTCATATGCATGGTTTATTTGACCTAATCTAGTTTCCTGATTTTTTCTTTTTAAAATAACCCGTTTTTTTCATAAATTAACCAATTCTCTACATTATGACAACAAGACATATCTGTCAAAATATATAGCCTAATTCCAAATTACATTAACGTTTTTTTTAATTAATAAATAAATAACAAAAAAAAACCTGTATTGGTGCATTTATTTATATAGTCCAGATTCATGTTTGGAATTATTACAGATGGTTTGATCACAGTTTTAGTCACCGAAACCAGCGCAAGTGGCTTTTGAAGGAACACAGACTGGCTGAATGACACTCTAATTTTGCAAAATATCTCAAATGGAGTTCACTGAACTCCAGCTTACATGTTTGTCTGTGTTTTTGAAGGTTTCAGATCATCCGTGCTACCTCAGAAGTGTTTAGAGAGAGCACAACTCATGGTTTCCAGATATTAAGTAAAATATTCCAGATATTAAGAAAATATTAAGTAAAACATTGGATGGAAAATGTGTTCTTTTAACAGAAAAGTTCTGATTGAGGGATTTAAATTCTTGAAATCTGGCAACTGCAAGCACAAAAGCTTGCCGCGGCTTGTTAAAAACAGTCTGTTATACAAAACAAAGAGAGGTTTCACGAGTTCACACTTGCATATAATTAGAGTGGATAAGATTTAATGCGTATTTGGCGTGCTGTCCGGGGGGAGGGCTCCGAGCTCAGAGTTAGGCCCGAACCCAGAGTACTCCCCACTATGTATGTGTTTAGGACTGGAAGTGTGGAGAAGGGGCGGTGGAGGGATGCTGCTAAACGATCAACGGAGTGAGGTGAGATTGCTGAACCTATAAATACACCTCTTATCATTGATTGCTGAGTGCACTCAACTCGTGTTAATTAACTGAACGTGCTCCTCCTGAACTTTGTTAATAAAACATCATTTTAGTATTGCTTTTATTTATAAACTACATTTTAGTCTCATCTTTTTTTGCCAGCAATGTTGATATAGTCAGTTTTATTGTTTAATGACATTGGTGTTGTCTCTTTATAGTCTCGTCTTAGTCATGGAAATAAAGGTTGTCAACTAATATTTTTTTGTCCAAGATTTTGTTAACGAAATTAACACTATGTGGTACCAAAGCACCCAGTTGAGACCAAAAAAAAAAAAAGTTAAAGTTAAAAAAAAAAACTGTACAAGTGCAGACTTACCAGCCTGGTTAGTAGTGATGTTGACTGATGCATATTGGGGTGAATAAGGGCTCTGGTCTGATACACCGTTGACAGCCTGGACTTCAAAAGTGTACTGGGTGTGAGCCAGAAGTTCACTTATAAAGACCCGGCTCTCCGTGAGTCCCAGCTGTCGTGGAACGAACTGCACGTTGTCCCCACAACGCGTGCAGCCCCCTCTGCCACCTCCGCAACTCTTGCAGATGATGTTATAGACCACGTCATCACGACCACCAGTCTCCCGCGGAGGATTCCACTCCAGCATCAGTGAAGTCTCATTCACACTGGAGATGACATTTTGAGGAGCCGATGGCACAGCTGGAAAAACAAACAAGGAAAATCTTTTTACAAAAGTCTGAAAGAAAAAGTAGGTTACCCCGTAAATGACTCAAATAACTGTTATCCGCCCTTTGTTTGAAATATAGTAGGGGTTTTCTAATGTTAATCAAACAACAAAAGACAAGGGAATTACTCACATACTTTTTATCACGAGGATAGTAGCGTGACAAATAAATGAAGGAAGGTGAAGGAGATGAAAGGATCAGTAAGACTTGAACTCCCAACACCCACTTAAACTTCCCAGCCCAAACGTGTCAGAATGTGTGCTAAGCACTTGAATTTTAATTTTCAGAGCGGTAGACAGAATAATACAATCAAACAATGTATATTGTGTGCAATTCCTTGTGTATTTCCATCATGCTAATTTGAATTACGATAACATCGCACAAATCACAGGCTTACTTGGGTCTATTGAAAAAAAAAAATTTCCGAGCTGTTCCCGTGTTTGTAAACATCATTTGCATTTGCTCATGCACACACAGCACATTTGAAGAAGAGTAAGAGCACACTAAACAAACGCACCACCGAGATCTCGTCCTGACTGACAGCCCAACTAAAGCTAACAATACCCTGTGTTTATCTTCAGCCAGCATGTGCTCCCAATTACTGTGGGTGCTCCTCTAGGGCCAAGTGAGGTAATCAAGAAACAACCCACTGCCTTTTGCCCTTTTAAAAAAGCCCCCCCAAAAAATGAAGCCTCCAATTGATTACCTATTTACAGCTGTGAATCATTAAGAGCCATCTCTGTCTTGAAGCTCTGTCGCACGCAAAACTGTATCTAAACATCCCATTCCCAGGTTAGTGGGCGGTAAAGGCTGCTGTTTCCTCTCTTTAATCAGGCAAAGGCCAGCCCACTGAGCTTCAACTCTGCGACACGATGCTGCTCTCTTATTCACAACAGCTGCTCTCCTCCCAGGGCCAGGCTTTTGCAAATGGCTTTTGTAAAAAAGCTGTCTCGTTCTTCCCTTTCTTTCTCCTTCTTCTCTGCCCCCACCTTAGCTTTTTCAGGAAGAGACAAAAAATGCCGTTTACAAAAACATAAGGAGCTGTCTGTCTTTCTTTCCTAGTCTTCACGGCCTCATTTGTTTCAATAATAGGGCCACGGGTATTTTTTTTTCTCTGCCTGATCTGTAGTCAGTGGGAATGAAGAGAAAAAGCTGCTGTTTGCAATGGTTTTGGGAGAGATCTTTGCTGTTGGACTATGCTGTAGGGGTAGAAAAGGTTAGGAAATAATCAAACTTTCCTAACGTTCTCTCATATGTATCATTGGTACGTCATATCCATTTTAGTGGTTTACTTTGTATTGTTGGATCAGTCGAATCAGGATTTTTCAGCGCATTCATGAGCACCAAGCTAATAGTATTCACAACGAATTTTTGTAGCAGAATATTTAGTTAAAGTCCATCAGATATTGATTTACATTTATTTATTCATATTTAGTATAAATGTATTTATTTAAAATTTGATGCTATTATACTTAGTGGTATTTAAAAAAAAGTTTCTTCCAGATAAAACGTATATCTTTATAATTAAGAAATTATTAAGACATTATATCTTAATTGTCTGCAATATACCATACTCAAAAATAAAAAATAAATACTCTCTTATTCATTTAAGTTACAATTTAAGTAATTTTATTAAGGGCACTCGTTTTTTTAAATATATTTTTTTCTTTTTAAAGACATTGAAAGTTCACACTGAAAGTTCAGAAATATAAAAGCTAAAAATATTCACAATGAATTTTTGTAGCAGAATATTTACTTAAATGCTAAAAAGTCCATCAGATATTGATGTACATTTATTTATTCATATTTAGTATAAATGTATTTATTTAAAATTTGATGCTATTATACTTAAAAAAAAATTCTGCCAGATAAAAACTATATCTTTATAATTAAGACATTATTAAGACATTATATCTTAATTGTGTGCAATATACCATACTCAAAATAAAAAAATAAAAAATACTCTATTATTAATTTAAATTACAATATAAGTAATTTTATTTAGGGCACTATTTTTTTTATATTTTTTTTTCTTTTTAAAGACATTGAAAGTTTACACTGAAAGTTCAGAAATATAGTTTTAAAAATAAAAAGGCTTTCATGTAGATTTGGAAAAAAGCATAGAGGACGCACTTGTACAGGGCATCTCTAAGGGGTCAGAGTCTGTGCGGTAATATCCATTTCGGCAGACACAGTTGGTGGCTCCATCGTTGGTTGTGCGGCTGTTGATTGGACACTGCAGGCATTTCTCGTCACCTTGCGCAGTCTTGAAGAAACCTGAAGGGCATGCTGAAACAGAGACAGAGAAAGTGATGAGAGAAGAACAAGAAAGTGAACTTTTTAATATTACATGATTCCCAAGTGCTTGAGGACACTAAAGAATGATGGGCCCTTAAAGTCAAGCTGAAACACACTTTGGTGCATTTCACACATGTAAAGAGAAGCAGTATAGTCAGGTAAACAGCATGTTCAGTATATGGGGCTGAATAATTCAAATCATGTGCGCTTTCATGACATGCTAAGAGCATTCCATATCATGTGATCTGACATGGATATCCTCACATTGATAATTCATAGGTTGATTGTAGAAACAGCATGTAAAAGACAGGAACAAAGAAGAATAAGGTACAAATTCATGTACAAATATGCAGATTAGTGTGCTTCAGGTCTCAAGGATTGTAACTCCTCTTTCCTTGTTTCCATTTGCTGTACTTTTCACATGTGACACCACCCACTTACAACCACACATTTTGGAGTGAAAGAGAACATAAAAAACTAATAAAATAAGGGTGTGACTTGATTTTATCAACAGGGAATTGATTGGATTGTGAAAAGCAGACCTCCAAAGCCAAAATTCGGCAGGAACTGATTTGCTGTACTTTTGAGAAAGCTTTTGAATTGTGGAGGTCAAGTTCACTCTTGAGGACATCTTATTCTCAAAATGTTTCTTTTCAAATCTATATATTTTTTTGCTGCTATTGTTAAGTTATATTTCCGTTAGACTGGGATTAAAGTGATGTCCTTGTATTAAATTCACCCGACTGGATGAAAGTCAGTCATACAGGCAGCAGAAAGTAAATACGGGAAAGTACAGTTTAAAAAAAAAAAAAAAGATATATATGTTATGTTTTGGGTTATCTATCCCCACAAGACCACCAATGTGTATTAAGAAGGGAACAGGGTCATTTTTTATTTACATTGACTATGTTTGTTGTTTTAATCACCAATGCTCTACCAGAGAGCAGGAGTGTATTTTCATGTGTACATACCGGAATTCCCTGGAGGCCTTTCAGACCTTGCCGTTTTCATGATGTACTTCTCTGTACCAAACAAACAAAGCACTTCCCAAAGAGTGGGATAACTGACAAGCACTTGGCCTGGATGAACAGCAAATTGCTGTGGAGTACATCCCCCAGCACTAACCCAACCATGAGCGCAAGAGAAAAAGACCACAGCAAGTGACGGCCCACATCCACAGACACATCTGGGAAGAGAAGCCGCCTTGGCTCGCCAAGTTTGAAAAACTCTGTCACCCCATTCCTAATGGGTGACCTTGCTTCCACGCCAAATTATTTGAACACACCTTCAATATCTGAACCGTTTTAGAGGAGCTAAAAAGCAATAAAGCACAGACACTTCGGCCTCCATAGTCTAAGCTGGCAATCACGGCAAGGATTTGTGCAGTGGGCCGGCCAAGGAAAATGTCTGTCGACGGGTTTATTTGGAGAAAGCAACTCCAGTCAGGGTTCAGCCGTGCTCTTAAACACGCACAAATAAGCCGGACTGTACATCCGCCCGAGTCGGTGAGATCACATTCTTACAGCTCAATTACAGGGGGCAGAGGTTAACTAGTGCCCACTGGTCATTAAAGGAGAGTCTGTTATTCCAGTGAAATGTTTCAGACAGAAAGGGTGATATTTCCCATTTCCTCTCACCTGCTCGCCACAGACCATCTCTCTTGATCCCATTTCAACACCCTGGCAAACCACAGGAACAGCTCAGCATCCATGAGCACTTTAGACTGCCATACACTGACACAAAAATACACGTTTTTACATTCCCTATTTGCACTCAACACATCCGCACTCATTTTCTTATTCCAAAAACACTCATGCTATTTCTCCCTCTTAAGAGTTTAAGCAAACTTAGTCTTTCCCAAATCCAGCTGACAGGTTTCTATAAGCCTCCAACCAGAACACTGACAGCTCAGTTCCCCAGAACACACACACACACACACGTTTAAAAGCATGGCTAAATATCCCATGTGAATGAGTATAATAAACGTTTAGAAATGGACTGCTGAAAAAAATGCACAATGTGAAAGCGATAGAGCACCTCGGTTTAATATTAGATTTGACATGTTTTTCTTTTCAAATGATTTATGGCAAAACTAGCCATGTGTAAAGTGAAATATGAGACTTGTGTGTTCGGAGAAAGTGTCATTGGAGTCACAGAGACAAGCACAACTGCAAAGCTTCAGCATTTAAGAAGAAACTCGGACAGAAAGGTAATCAAAAACAGCAATGGAAAGCAGACTGGACCCAAAAGGACTGAGATCAAAGAGCGAGAAAACAGGAAGAGATGGAAAACTGCAGCAAGAGTGCTTAAATAATTCCGCTTTTGTCCCCTTGTCTATTAATGTATTTTAAATATATGATGAGCAGGTTTTTAATTTTTGAATTACTCATTTTATATACATTTTCGGGGGCACAAGGTCAAAAATATCCGGGTGATGCAACTTTTTATCATAATGAAGGGGGCCTCGTTAAACAAATGAAATTGCGGGGTAAAAAAGAAAACAACAATAAAAACCCTTTGAACTCCAAAATTAAAAATGTTTAGCATATTAGCTTATTTCTTAGCAAAATTCATTTATTCTAACAAAACTGCTTAACTGCATATTAAAACAGTATTTGGGGGAAAAAACTTAAAAAATAAAAGTCCTGTAGTGTGACCAACAAAGTCATATGGTCCAACCAAACTGGGAAAAAAACAAAACAAACCTTGAATAATGTCATAGAGAGGACCCCTGGAGACAGAAATTAACACTTTCTTGAAAATGGTAAAATAATAATAATAATAATACAAAGAGTACATTTCTAAGAACTTGGCACAAGTGTTTCAAACTAGATTTTCTTGTATCGTCATTGACCCATTAAGAGTTGTCTTAACACCTTATCTTGCAGGTTGACATTCGATAACTAGTGTTGAAGGGAAAATTGTGCGCCTTCACTGCAAAAACAGAAACTGAGAGCACCAGATCCTCCTTCCACAAACTCTGCTAGTCTCCTAAAGAGGCTTAGCCTATGCCAGCTGACGAAGGAAGGGGGAGGAAGACACTCAGTATCCGCGCCTGACTCCACCACTTGCCGTCTGGGCATGACCTTGCATGTTTTCATACTTGCTTCCAGATGGTTCCATCCAACTAAGGGAAATAATATCAGGCGTGCTGAAAACGTGGGGACTGTGCTAAACATGGCTGTAGAAGCGTACAACTCTGCTCGCAGAACTACCCTGTGTGGAGGAATGCAATCGAGAGAAAAACCGTGTCAGCTGTAGCCCCAGGGATGATAGAAACCCTGATTAAAGAGCACATCAGTGCTTTGGTACAGCTCGCATCCAGATTAGAAATGGTTACATTGTTTGATCACAATGTTTCTCTTCCAAGCTCAGAATGGAAATAAAAAAGGTCTGTTTTGTTTTTTGTGCACAATTGAAGTCTTTTTATAATAGAAACTTTTAAAATTAAAACACTTCGGACCATTTGGTGTCTTTTTTTAGATGAGAGTGATTAATCTAGTTCTGTAGCAAGAAAGAGAGGAAGTCATGTTGAAATACATCCTTTACTGAAAAGATAAGCTTATTTACAGCATTAATTTATAACAGCCAGTCCATGCAGGTTTGGTCTGGCTGACCAGCATTGACTTTAAGCTGGTTGACTAAGAAAGTCTTAAGCTTGAGAAGAAATCTATGGTGACACTAGCTGTTTCTTCCAACACAGTCTCATGAAAATGCGTATCTATACCACGAATATCATTTCTCGTGGCATTTATACGCCAAAAATTTTTTTTGCGTGCATATGCTACGCACTAACAAACCCTGGGGTACTGTAGGTTTAGGGGGTGAGGGGGGTGGGGAGTTTGTGCGTATTATACGCCTTAAAGTGTGTATCATATGCACGCGAAAAACGCGTACCATATACACGCAAAAACTGTTTTGGGGGTATAAATGGCACGAGAAATGACATTCGTGCTATAGATACGAACTTTCATGAGATCGGGCTCGTTTCTTCACACCTTTATGTAATTTCTACCACACTAAACAATTTTGCCTCTAATATAGTCTTATATAGTAATCATATAGTCTTTTCGAATGGACAAGTAAATTAAAATATATTTATATGATTTTTTATATGCACATATGACCAAAACACAGTAAAAACAGCAATATTGTGAAATAATATAATAATATGAAAAAAAAGTAACTTTTCTATTTTGATATTTTAAAATTGTATTATTCCTGGGATGGGAAAGCTAAGCAGCCATTACTTCAGTCTTCAATTAAGGTGTTAAACTAGAAAAAAAAAAAACAGACATGCACTACCAAGTTTATTTTGACAGCCCTGCTTTTAACATAAAAAAAATCATCTAAGCATTTGAATAGTAGTGCAAATTGAGAAAAACAATTCTCCAATGATAATTATATATTAATCACCAATGAGAAAAGTGCAGCGTTATCAGTTTATTTTATAAAAAAATCCACTAGGCCAAAAGCACTTCTAGTTAAAGAAACACCCATATACTGTCAATTTTACCCAGAACACATCAAAGAGGTTAAAGACCTGCCGTAGAAAACTTAGTTGTCACATTTCAGTGACTACAGTAAGAAGTATTGAACGCAAACCACCTGGCACTCTTTCAAACCTGGCCTTGCTTGTGTTTATTGCCCCTAATAACACGTGCAGACCGAAAAAAGGTAGCAGTGGCATAATGGCAGGCTTAGAGGGCTGTTTGAGTGAAATCCTGTTGTGAACATGTGCTCGGGTGCCAGAACGCTAGTCATGTTTTATTACAGGTAATTCGCAATTTCAAAGATTGCCAGAGCGTTTTCATCCAGTCTGATTTACGTAGGTGCTAAAGAAAAAGGCGTACACGCAGATGGCTGCATGTGCACTGGAGCCCGTTGGTAGCAGGGCAGGAATGTGTGTGTACTGTACATGTACCGGCGGATATGGCTCCTCCAGCTGCGTCCAATTCAGAAGCCAGGAGTGCAAACAACGCCGGAGCCTT